TTTTTGAGATGGAGTCTGGCTCTGTCACCCAAGCTAGAGTGCGCTGGCACAATCTCAGCTGACTGCAACCTCCACCTCCCGGGTTCAAGAGATTCTCTTGCTTCAAGCCTTCAGAGTAGCTGGGACTACAGGCACCCACCACATCCAGGAAATTTTTGTATTTTTAGAAGAGACAAGATCTCACCACATTGACCAGGCTGGTCCCGAACTCCCGATCTCAGGTGACCTGCCCACCTCGGCCTCCCAAAGTGCTGGGATTACAGGCATGAGCCACCACACCCAGCCCTTGTATTACAAAATTAGCTGGGTGTAATGGTGTGGGCCTGTAATCCCAGCTACTCAGGAGGCTGAGGCAGGAGAACTACTTGAACCCAGGAGGCAGAGATTGCAATGAGCGGAGATCGCGCCACTGCATTCCAGCCTGGGTAACGGAGCCAAACCCCATCTCAAAAAAAAAAAAGAATCCCTGTATTTCCTTCTCAGGGTAGTATAGTAAAATTAGAAAGACTGTAAAACAGACCACTTTCCAATTTCCTTGTACCCACTTGCAAGCTGCATGAGGTTGGGGAAAATATTTAGCCTCTCAAGCATTTTTTTTTAAAGAACATTTCTTTAAGAATATAGAGTATGAGCACAAGAAATACACTTGTTTACTGTTCTTTCCCCAGAATAGTGCTGGTGCAAAGTGATGTGCAATAAATATGCAATGAAGGAAATAAACAAGAATTTTAATGTCAACCCTTTTCAAAGAGATTCCAATTAAACAAGGTAACCGTTTAAGCTACCGAAGTAACAAGTTAAAAAAAATCAATTAGAATTGTTCCTGCTGGAAAATAGCGCAGCACAGCCACATTCTTGCACACTGCTATAAATTGGAAAATAACTTAAACATTTGTAATAGGACCTGCAAAAATATTTATAGACTTTGATCTAGTAGTTCTGCTTTTTAAGACTCTTTTGAGAAAAATCCTAAAAAAGCTGATTACACAACATGTTCACTGTAACATTATTTACGGTAGCAAGTCACTAAACAGTCTAAATTTTTGGTAGTAGGAGAATAGCTAGGTTTAAAAAGGACGCTGGCTCTAGTGCATCCATTACAAAAGATGGAAATATGCAGTCGTTTGACAAATCCTGCTGGTAGAATTCTACTATTAGTAGTGCATATTCAATCTAACAAAAAAAGACAACATAAATTCAAAAAGAAATAGTGGTTGTATTACTGTGAGACTATAGGTGATTTTTTCCCCATTTTTAAAAATTTCTATAGCATGATTACCTTTTATAATAAAATAATTC